GCAAGGCCGCTGGGGCTCATCTCGGTTTTTCTCCCCTAGCTCTGTTTGACATGAGGCGGCCTCGAGCCCTTCGTGGGCCAGCCTTCGAACCTCAGTCAGTTGCCGCTCATATAGAATGAGGCGAGTACTGCTTCATGATGCGATGCAAAGCGTTGAGATGCGGCAATTGCATATGCAACGCTTGAATATATATAGAATGAATGTACGATGTAATGGAAACGAAAGCGAGGGTCGGTGATGTTACCTTGGTGGCATGAGCGACGGGAAGCTCTTATCGGACTTGTCCGTGCAGGGTTTGGGTCCAACATTTGCGATGGGGCCGGTGTAACCTGCACGAGCATCGCAATTTTTTTTGTTTCTGTCTCTTGACAGTGATCCAAGCTGTTCAATTGACTTAGGCAACCTGATAGCTTCTCCTTGAAGGAGATTTCACAGGTAGACCCCTCCGAACCCTTCTCGAGAAGGCGGATGCTAAAGCTAGGGATGTGGGGACAAAGAATTCGATTACGTTGGTGAACAAAAAACGCCATAGCCGCTGGGGCGTAGGGTCTAGTGGTTCATCCGGTTTTACTCAAAGTTTACACCCGCACACCGTGCCTCCGATTTTTCAACATAAGGAGGGGTCGAGCGAAGAGAATGTCTAAGTGAGTAGACACTCTTGGCAGCCCCCCGAGCGATGTCCGAGCCCCTGCCGTTGCTGGGGTCGGAGGCTTGGTAGTGAAATTGATATATAAAGTAAGTAAACAAGGGTGCTTATCTTTCGGCGATCGTTCATTTGGCGTTCGCTTGGGCCGTCTGATCGACCCAGGGGGCCCGTTGGTCTCCCCTTGATGGAGGTTCTATCATTGGGTCCTTCCAGGTCCTACCTAGGGAAGCGGAGAGCCGTCTACGTGTGGTTGTGCCTTGTTTCTCGTGCCGACATGTGGTAGTGGTGGGCCATGCCCAGGCCATGTCCCATTTGACCAGGCGCCGTCTCGTCGAGCAAGGCACGTCCTGTTGGTCAAGACACGTCCCCTCGAATTCCCATCTGCATTGAATAGGGGAAGGAAGAGGGTTTTTCGCCCCAACCCTTCGCCTTTCTCCAACTGCTGCGTCTCCTCCTTAAATAGGGGAAGGGGGAGGGTTCTCGTCCCATTCCTCCACCTATTCTTGAGCTGTTGCCTCTCCTCCTTTTTCCTTTTCACCGAGCGCGTTCGCATGTCGCGGCGGTTCCTAAGTAAGAGAGGGTAATGTGAGGGAGGGGAGAACTCACAGATCCATTCATGAATCAGGAGTGCAATGTTGAGCTGGAGGTCATCCAACGTAGATGAGATGGTGCTGGCTGCCTTCGCTGAGAAGGGGCTGCTTCCACTGAAGGAGGAGGCGCACTGGAGGGTGCCGCCTGTCACTGGCTTTGTTATCGTCTGTGAGGCCTTCATCGAGATGGAGCTGTACGGGGATTTCTTCTGGCGAATCTTCTCTGGGCGAGCCTTATCGGTGGGGAAGCCACCTAAGACTGCGTCGATGGGGGGTTTTGCCCTTGCGGCCCTCTCAGATCGGCCAGTTCATGAAGTTTGATGAGATGTCAGAGACATCCAGTCATTGCGGCCATTCTTCGGTAGGTAGCGCCCCCCGTCTAGGTGCCGTTGTCAGGGTTGTGGCTGATCACGATGGCGTAGTCCCTAGACATCATGGTGAAGACACCACGGTCACCGACGTGGTGCTCGACGTTGCAGACGATGGCGCCCTCAAGGATAACGCGGAGCAGTAGGACATTGCCGATGGAGAGCGTGGCACGGCGGCCGTAGTAGTATTTAGAGTAGAACTGGTCAGCAAATGTAATCGTTTAAGCTGTGGGGGAGCCCCTGTGTGAACAATTTTTTTTTGTATTCATGAATACATCAGTCCCCTTTCGTGATGAAATCACTTTGTAAGCGATGAATTTGTGAAAAAATGAACAAGTTCTCAAATTTTGTTACGGCAAACAGCTTTTTAGCTCTTCTCCCTCTTTTTGTAAAAGAGGTTCAGTGCCTTCCGACCCTTCCCGTAGTTTAAGGTCGCAAAAAGCTCAGAGTGCGGGCGAGCCCATTCTAATCACGCTGATGAGCAAGGAGACCGTAGCCGCTGGGGCGTGGGTTCCCACAGTCCTACCAGTTATACTCAGAGTTTGTTCCCAAAATCCTAGCCCTTAGGACTTACCATGAGAAAAGAGGGAAAACACAGAGAATGTTTGTAAGATAAACATACTCATACCAGCCCCCGAGTGAGGTCCGACCCCTCGCACTTGCAGGGGTCGGATGTCATGAAAGATCGGGGATTTTTATGACAAAACTAATAAGAGAAAGTATGCATTTATTTAGGGGTAAAAATGACGTAGCTGCTCAATGTTCTAGGTGTTGGTGAAGACCTCACCGTCGATAGCTTTCAACTTGTAGGCGCCTGGCCGGAGTACTTCCATGATGACGTATGGCCCCTCCCAGGGTAGGGAGAGCTTGTGGTGGTCCTTATTGCTCTGCACGAGGTGGAGGACCAGGTCCCCAACGTTAAAGGCTCGGTCCCACACCTGTCGGCTGTGGTACCATCGCAACGCCTGCTGGTACTTGGCCGAGTGGAGGAGGGTGACGTCGCGAGCTTTATCTAGCTGGTCCATGGCGTCTTCGTGGGATGCCTCGGCTCCCTATTTGTCGTATGCTCTGATCCTTGAAGCTCCATAGTCGAGGTCGGTTGGGAGGACGGCCTCGGAACCATAGACCATGAAGAAAGGCGTGAGCCGGTGGCATGGCTAGGAGTTATCCTTAGGCTCCAGAGTACCGCAGGGAGCTCGGTGACCCACCGTGCGCCAAACTTGTTCAACCAGTTGAAGATCCTAGGCTTGAGGCCCTGTAGGACCATGCCATTTGCGCGCTTGACCTGCCCGTTCGTTCGGGGGTGCGCGACGGTAGCCCAATCAACCCTGATGTGGTATTCATCACAGAATCGAAGGAACTTTTTTTGGTGAACTGCGTACCGTTGTCCGAGATGATGGAGTTCGGGACTCTAAAGCGATGGACGATGTTGAGGAAGAACAGTACGGCTTGTTCAGACTTGATCGTGGTGATCAGCCGAGCTTCTATCCGTTTCGTGAACTTGTCTATGGTGACAAGCAAGTGGGTGTATCCTCCGGGCACCTTCTTGAGAGGCCCAACTAGATCGAGCCCCCAGACCGCGAAGGGCCACGTGATGGGGATCATCTGGAGTGCCTGGGCTGGGAGGTGAGTTTGTCGAGCATAGTACTGACACCCTTCGTAGGTGCGCACGATCTGCTCGGCGTCGGCTACTGCAGTGGGCCAGTAGAAGCCCTATCGGAATGTGTTTCCAACCAAGGTTCTAGGCGCTACGTGGTGACCATAGACCCCACCATGGATATCGCCCAGCAAATGCTTCCCCTGTTCGATAGGGATGCAGAGCTGCAGGATCCTGATGTGGCTAACTCTGGGCGTTCGGGTTACTCGAATAATTCGGGTCGGGTAGTTCAGGTTTTGGGAAATTCGGGTAATGAACAGTATTACCCGATAACAGCCTCAGAAAAATAGTACCCGCAATTTCAGGTTCGGGTTCGGGTTCGGGTGTACCCAATATACCCAAAATTATAGAATCACAGCAAACATCACAGAATTTGCATAGAATTTGAACTGGACAAAATAATTGATAACTGATAAGTTCAAATTTTCAACCGCAGATAATCACAAACAGTGAAACACTAAGACAGAGGCATAGTTGCATAGCCATAGAGTCACATCTCAGACCTGACATACATGATACTTACTTAGTAGTCTAGTGCACATGGAACATGCAATGCAAGTGCAAACCACGACACAGTCACAAAGACACAGTTCAAGGCTTCGAGCCTGCTGCGTGCCAATGCATCACACAAGAACAGAAGTTCAAACAAAATAGTGAAACACATCACCCAACTGACACAAGAGCAAGTGATTGTCGAGTGTCCAAAGTCTAGACTCTAGTCCTCCATACTCTAGTGGCAGTAATCCAGTCTAGTTGTAGCTTTCAGAGTTCAGTGCACTCTGTAATAAAAAATGATGGTTGAAATCTATGCACAGCATATTTCAAAAGAATACTGAATACTCCATTCATACTTGACATATATACCTTTAAGTTTTGGAGGGAGTCAGGGCCTGATTGTTGCTGCTTGGTGTTTGTGACTTGGAGGTGCCGATAGAAGGCTGCTCATTCTTTTTCCCTTTGCTGCCATATTCTTCTATCCACTCTATAAATGCACAACACAGTTACATATTTCATATTGCATATAGTAAATACATAAATGCAAGCAAGTAAGGAAATATGATACCTTTTTCTATTATGGCCAATTCCTCCGTACTCTCCTTTATGTCAACAGTAGGCCTTCGAAGCCAATCCTGCGTGCATACTAAAGCCTCTAGCATGAACGAAGTAAGAGAGGTACGGAAGTCATCCAAGATACGTCCACCTATGCTAAAAGCGGACTCTGATGCTACTGTTGTGATGGGTATAGCAAGCACATCACGAGCTATGTGACTCAAAACTGGAAACCTATTTGAATTGACTTTCCACCAACCAAGAATATCCATTTTCTTTTCTGTGTCTTTAGTTTCTTCAGCAAGATATTTCTCAAGTTCATATTTATTGGTGCTAGTAGAACAATTGCTCAGTTTCATCCTCTTGGCGATTTTTTCTTTAAGCATTCCTCCTGCACCTCCCTTAGATTGATCAGCATCAATTACTTGAGTTGTTTCTTCACTTGGAGCATACATGTTCATGTATTCTTCAAACAGCTCTCTCACACAAGTATTAATTGCTGCCCAAACCAATTGACATCTTTCCTCACCAAATATCTCTTCAACGCTAATCTTTGTGTACAAAGATAACTTGTACCTTGGATCAAAGAATGCAACCACAAATATGAATAAATTGATGTTCTCCTTGTCCTTCTCCTTCTCCTTCCCCCTGCCCTTGCTCCGCCCTTTATCCCTATCTTGCTCTTGTTGCTACCTGTCATTGTCCTTGCTGTTGGTGTGCCAAAGTCCCCAGTATTTATCAAATTTCTCTTTCATTCTCATCCCCATTGATACATGCAAATTATCTTCACTGTTCAGCCATTCTTGAATCAATAGATGGACTTCTCCAATCTCATGAAAGAAAGTGTTGCAAGTGACTTGGAGAGAAGAAGAGATACGAATAGTAAGGTCATGGAAATGCTGTAGAAATTGTGCCATCTTCTTTGCATTGTCCCAATCATCTTCATCAGGATGCCCAAAACCATCCCTTGCTTCAGACAGATCAATAACATAATTAGTGTCATCTTTAGCCAACTTTAAGAACACTTTCTCATACACAATTGCAGCCTTCAACATCAAATATGTGTAATTCCACCTTGTCGGAACATCAAGTTTCAAAAATGCTTTGCTGTCCACTTTCTCTTCCTCAGCAATTTCTTTAAACTTGACCAATCTTGAAGTCCCATTTTTTATATATCTAACAGCAGCCCTAACACGCTTAATAGAGAGATCCACTTCTTGCAATCCATCTCTTACAATAAGATTCACAATGTGGGCTGCACACCTCATATGCAAAAACTTGCCCTTGCCAATGTTGGTTTTCTGCAGCTGCCTCCTCAAGTAATCAACACCACTGTCATTGGCACTTGCATTATCCACTGTTACAATCATTACTCTACTAAACCCCAATCAGCTAAGCATCTTGTCAAGTTCTTCCCAATATCCTCCCCCTTGTGACTGTTTACCATAAAAAAACTTATCACTTTCTTATGCAGATTCCAGTTTTCATCAATGAAAGTTGCTGTAACAGTCATATATCCATCTTGAACCTGAGAAGTCCAACAATCTGTTGTGAGGCACACTCTCTGACAAGAATCTTTGAAGAACTTCTTTAGTTTGGATTTCTCTTCAAAGTAATGACGTACAATGTCCCTTGTGCAAGTTCTTCTAGATGGAAATTGGAATCGAGGACATGCTTTGGACATAAATTTCCTAAAGCCAGGCTTCTCACAAAAACAAAAGGGTTGCTCATCTTCTATTACCATCTCAGCAAAGGCTTCTCTAAGTGCTTCTTGATCAAACCTCCAAGTGGTAGGGGCTTCCCCCAACATACTTGCAAGGTGCCTTGCTTTGGGTCCTTGTTGAAAACATGAGGATTGCGTTTGCATGTACCAAAGTGTTTCTTCAATGCAGATGTTCCATGTCCCCTTGTGTCAGCCTTGATGTCACGGTGGCAATATTTGCACCTTCCAGCCTTCAAAAGTCCTTTGTCGTCCTTGATCTTGATAAAATGTTGCCACATCTCAAACCTTGGTGCCAACTCCTTTCTCTGAGTTTTTTTAGTTTCCTTCTCATCCACATCAATGACCACTTTTTTAGTTCCTTCAGTTTTTCCTTGCTCCTGAGTGTCCAGTGATGGTTGTCCAACTACTGACATTGGCACCATTACCATTGCCTAAGTCTCCTGACTCTCAAATTGAGTGCCAGTGCCCACTGAGTCCATATTATCCTCTTGTTCTGGCATCTACAGAAATAAAAAGAGCACTATAATCAGTCACTAAGACAATAAGTCAAACTAAATCATAGATCATATCAACATATCATAACAACACATCATAAATCACAAATCATATCAACAGATCATAACAAATCAACTAAATCATGTGCCTCACTACCTCTGTTAACCATAAATCATAGATCATATCAAAAATCACCATATTATCAGCATCACCATATTATAAAAAATCACAGATCATATCAAATAGACAAATAACAGATCCACTCATCTACACTACATCACTAAACTACATAGTACAGACATTGCAATTTATAGAGACAGCCATAGCCCACAGATTCAAAAAAACTAAGGGGATTAGGGCCATAGGGGTTAGGGAATACATACATTGCACGAGGATTCTGATGTGGCAGCCGTCCTTCAATCTTCAAGTAGCCAGGCGCCGGTGTCCCTCTCTAGTGTCCAGTCTCCGACGAGGTCGACGCGCGGGGACGCGAGGTGTCGCGTGTCAGAGTGAGGTGCAAAGGTGGGCGACGGAGTAAGGGTGGCATCGACGAGCCAATGACTTCGCTTCGTGTCACGCCATCGCCACACGCGCCCCTTTGGTACCGCTCTGAGAAGGCAAGAACTGGAGTCTGGAGGGCTGGCGGCTAGGTTTTGGAGGATACAGGGAGTGAGGTGAGGAAATGAGGTTGCGCTATTGCCTGTTGGGCTGCGGGGGATGTTTGGCCTATTGGGCTCTGACTCAAATGGCGGATAGTTCGGGTACCGGGTGTAGTTACCCGAATTACCCAAATTAAAATCGGGTAATAGGAATCACTATCCGAACTAAACATCGGGCACTGCGGGTTTGGGTTTTTCGGGTCCGGGTCCGGGTATTTCGGGTTCGGGTAACGGGTAGCGGGTAATTTGCCCAGAGTTAGGTGTGGCTTCATTTGTAGAATTCGCCCTCTACTAGAACGAATGACTTGGCGCGACGTGCGAGCCGTCGAGCTTCCGTCTTGTCTGTCGATAGCGTGTCACAGAGGAGGTAGTTGAGGTAGAGTGTTCTCTAGTCGACCAGAGGGTCAGGCTCTGTCGCTGGATCCTCTTCAAGCTCCATGACCTCGGGGCCTGACAGAGCCATCGGTTGGTTAGCCCCTGAGGCTGGAGCGGACGGACCGTCGTTGGCCTGCTCCGACCCTTCATAGTGCACCGAGGGCTTGTGTTGGTCGCGGGCAAAGACACCTGTTGGCACCGGCTCTCAGCCAGATGCCGCCTTCGCAAGCGTGTTGGCTACCTCGTTGAGGCACCTTGGGACGTGATTGAGTTCGAGGCCATCAAATTTGTCCTCCAGTCATCGGACTTCTTGGCAGTACACAACCATCTTGGCGTCATTATAGCTTGACTCCTTCATGACTTGGTTGATGACCAGCTGGGAGTCACCCCGTATGTCGAGGCGTCGGATTCCCAACTCGATGGCAATGCGTAGGCCATTGATGAGCGCTTCATACTCAGCCACATTATTGGATGAGGGGAAATGGAGACGGACCATGTACCTCATGCGCACCCCGAGGAGTGATACAAAGACTAGCCCTGCGCCAACGCCCTTCTTCATTAGCGATCCATCGAAGTACATCGTCCAGTACTCTTGATCGATGAGCGCCGGTGGCATTTGGACCTCGGTCCATTCCGCGATGAAGTCTGCCAACACCTGGGATTTGATAGTTGTTCGGGAGGCAAATGTGATGCCCTGGTCCATCAACTCGAGTGCCCATTTTGTGGTTCTTCCTGTGGCATCCTGGCTTTGGACGACCTCACCGAGGGGGAACGACGTCACGACCGTCACCAGGTGTGACTCGAAGTAGTGGCGTAGCTTCCTTTTGGTGATGAGGACGGCGTACAAGAGCTTCTGGATTTGGGAGTAGCGAGTCTTAGAGTCGGATAGTACCTCACTGAAGAAGTACACAGGGCGCTACACTTTGAGGGCGTGCCCCTCTTCTTCCCGTTCCACTACTAGGGCGGCGCTAACCACTTGCGTGGTAGCCGCTATGTATAGCAGATGGGATTCTCCATCGGTTGGAGGGACCAAGATTGGGCCCTTTGTCAGAAGCAGTTTGACCATGTCAAGTGTCTCCTAGGCCTCGGATGTCCATTCAAAGCGGTCGGCTTTCTTCAAGAGTCGATAAAGGGGGAGACCTCGTTCGCCGAGGCATGAGATGAATTGGCTAAGTGCGGTGAGGCACCCTATAACTCGCTAAACCCCCTTTATGTTCTGAATTGGGCCCATCCTTGTGATGGCTGAGATCTTCTCCGGGTTGGCTTCGATGCCACGCTCGGAGACGATGAAACCAAGCAGCATACCCCTCGGGACCCCGAAAACACACTTCTCGGGATTGAGTTTGATGCCATTCGCTCGAAGTTTTGCAAAGGTCCGCTCTAGATCGGCAACGAGGTGGTCAGCCTATTTGGACTTAACCACGATGTCATCGACGTAGGCCTCAATAGCCTGCCCGATGAGGTCCTCGAAACACTTGAGCATACAACGCTGGTACGTAGCCCTAGCGTTCTTCAGACTGAACGGCATTGAGACGTAGCAGAACGATCCGAAGGGGGTGATGAAAGATGTCACAAGGCTGGTCAGACTCTTTCATCATGATTTGATGATAGCCAGAGTACGCATCAAGGAAGCAGAGGGTTTCGCACCCCGAGGTAGAGTCAACTATTTGGTCTATGCGTGGCAAAGGAAACGGATCCTTTGGGCATGCCTTGTTGAGACCCGTATAGTCAACACACATCCTCCACTTCTCGCTCTTCTTTCATACAAGAACGGGATTGGCTAACCACTCTGGGTGGTATACTTCCTTGATGAACCCGGCTGCTAAAAGTTTTGCTATCTCTTCACCGATGGCCCTGCGTTTCTCCTCATCGAAGCGACGCAGGCGTGGCTTCACCGGCTTGGAGCCTGGGTGGATCTTCAAGGTATGCTCGGCGACTTCCCACTGAATGCCTGGCATATCCAAGGGTTTCTACGCAAAGATGTCTTTGTTGCCACGGAGGAAATCGACGAGCGCGCCTTCCTATTCAGAGGAAAGCGTGGTACCAACACATACCATTTTACCCTCAGTGCTCCTGGGATCTACGAGGACTTCTTTAGAGCCCTCTGCCAACTTGAACGACCTGGTCGACTTCTTGGTGTCGGGTGCTTCTTCGGTGACCTCCTACTTGAGGGCGGCGAGCTACCCGGAGGCGACGATTGCTGTGGCGTGACCGCAGCACTCGACCTCGCACTCATAGGCGCGCTGGAAGGAGGTGCCGACGGTGATGACCTCGCGGGGGCCTGGCATTTTTAGTTTGAGGTATGTATAGTTGGGTACGACCATGAACTTCACGTAGCATGGACATCCTAGGATGGTGTGGAAGGTTCCGGGGAACCCAACCACCTCGAAGGTGAGGGTTTCAGTCCTATATTTGAACTAATCCCTGAAGGTAACGGGTAGATCAATCTGCCCAAGTGGCATGGCTTGCTTCTTGGGCACGATGCCGTGGAAAGGTGCTCGGGTTGGGTGGAGGCGTGTCCGGTCCACGCCCATCTCGTCGAGCGTCTTGGCGTACATGATGTTGAGGCCGCTGCCTCCATCCATCAGTACTTTGGTGAGTCACTTCGGGCCGACGATTAGGTCGACCACGAGCGGATATCTCCCTGGGTGCGGGACGTTATCCGGATGGTCGGTCTGATCGAAGGTTATGGCGGACTTTGACCACCGGAAGAAGGGAAGTGTGGTCGGTTTGGCCGTGTAGACCTCACGGCGTGCGACCTTCTGACGACGTTTGGAGTCATAGACTACTGATCCTCCGAAGATCATAAGGCAGCCGTCTGGCATCGGAAAGCCGTCGTCCTTCTCCTCGGCGTCGTCCATGGTGGGGGCAGGGTCCTTTCCGTGCTCCCCTTTGTTGGAGCCTTCGGACAAGAACCGCCGCATGAGGCTACAGTCCTTGAGCAGATGCTTTACCGGGAAGGCATGGTTTGGGCATGGCCCCTTAAGTAATTTTTCGAAGTGGTTCAGAGTGCCCTCCGTGGGCTTCCGACCACCCTTGTGGTCAGCAGCGGCCATGAGCGAGTCCTCGCGTCATTGCTTCATGTTCTTCCTTTTGGCGGAACGATTGGAGGTGCCTTCGCCGGTGCCCTCGTCCCACCTTGCCTTGCCCTCGAGACGATCGAAGATCGCTCCGACCGCCTCTTCTCCTGAGGTGTGGCTGGTGGCGATGTCTAGGAGTTCTTTGGTGGTTCACGGGCCCTTGCATCCTAGCTTATGAACCAAAGACTCGTAGGTAGTCCCAGATAGGAAGGCTCCTATAACGTCGGCGTCGGCAACGTTAGGGAGCTCATTGCACTACTAGGAGAAGCACCGAATGTACCCACGGAGGGTCTCACCGGCCTTCTGGTGGCAGTTCTTGAGGTCCCATGGGTTCTCAGGGCGCTTGTATGTGTCCTAGAAGTTCCCCACAAAGATCTCCTTCAGATCCGCCCAACTCTGGATCGTGTTGGACGGCAGGTGCTCCAACCACGCTGGTGCCAAATTGGCTAGAAACAGTGGAAGGTTGCAGATAATAAAGTCGTCATTATCCGCACCACCGGCTTGGTAGGCATGTCGATAGTCTTCGAGCCATAATCCAGGGTTTGTTTCCCCAAAGTACTTTGGGATATTGGTTGGTGGCTGGTACATTGGCGGGAAGGCAGTGTTGAGGATGTGCCGGGCGAAGGCCTTAGGGCTCGGTAGGCCGGGGCTCGGGCTCCGGTCCTCGCCGCTGTTGTAGCGTCCGCCGCGACAAGGATGATAGCCGCGATGGGCTCCTTCTCTCGGATTGCCGCAGGTACATCTGCGGGTGTCGAGGGTGCTGCATGCGTCGCGTTTGTAGCCGAGACGCTGATGTACTGGGATCGCGGCATGCTGCCT